TTTTTATTGAAATAAAATTTTTCAAAATACTTTTAGATTGATTTATTATAACATGTATAAAGATAAAGCAGATCTTTATTTCGATTCTATTTCTGAAATTCACGAAAACTTAAATTTATAAAAAACAATCTAATTATTATATTGTTGTTGTTAATGCGTAATTTTTGAAACGTGATTGAGAAGTGTTGTTTGTATTTTCCAATTTCTCTTTTTATAATAAACAATATCGGAATTTAACGATGTATAATATCGATCTTGTGTTCTTGTGAATTATTTTTTTTTTTGCTGAAAATTAATCTTTTTTCTCATTTATAATATAAAAACTTCCATATAATGGGTCATTTTATCTTTAAATCCAATATTTAATATAATTCTTACAAATATAATAACTCTAAATGAATTTTTTTCTTGAAAAAACCTATTAAAATAAATCATAATTTAATTTAAAAAAATGATTAATATTTTAAATGATACTTAAATAAATGTTTTCTATTTTTCTTATAATATTACGTATTTCAAGTATCAGGTATTTTCTTGGTTGTTAATTTTTTAGAAAAATTTTAGAAAAATTATTTGAATCTAATATTTATTACATATTTATTCCTATTTAAATTTGACAAAATATTAATTTTCCTATAAATTTTTCTTTTTATAATAATAAATGAATCATCAATTGCTCTTACATATCTTCAAATCGTTTTCACTGATAGAGAAACGGCAATGTTATAAATTACCATATCGTAGGTGGTATTAATTAATCTTGCAGCGATAAGATAGATGTTGCTTCCGTATTACTGCTATAATGGATGCCATATCGCTATATTATATGTGTAATATAACAATTGATCTCAATAGTATTCTACTATGTTAGATATATTTTATTATAAAGTTGTATATCAATAAAGAAAATAATTTAATATCAATTTTTGGTATATATATATATTTTTTATTTTAGAAAACTAAAGATTGTCACACGATAACAAAAAAGAGTTTAAATTTTAGAAAAGGATATTGAAATATAGATTTCTATGTCAGAATCCGAAAATGGTTGACCTGATTGTCAGAAACAATTGTCAATAGTTTGAACAGTTATTTGTATGCAAAGGTGAGAATTTTTCGCGAGTTACATGACGCTATGGATTATTATTATGTAAACGTATTCGAATTGGTCCTTTGGGAATTATAGTTTCTAGTTTATTTCGAGTTTATCTGTGGATTTTGCTAGTCTGATTGTGTATGTATGTCTTGTCCAGTTTACAATGTGCTTATGAAATATATAGATAAACGAATGTGTATAAGATTTTCTTTCTTATTTATCTCTTGGTTGAGTGTCCTCTGAGGTAAGAAAAATTGTATATAGCATAGAATATTCTTTTCCTTAGAGATGCTGTACATGATACACATACAGAGTGTCAATATAATCTTGAAATGTCTTTTTAGAGATCAAAACAAACACAGAATATCGATGGAATATTGTAAAATAATTCTATCTCAATCTTGTTTCATACTAAAAAAAAAAAAAAAAAAACAAAAAAAGAACAAACTTAAATTACTTCTAACTTAATAAATAAATCTCATTCAAGATTTTTATATGATGTCAAACAATTTTTGTATTTCTTTTGGCTTCTAATTTTTCCAAAAATGTTATTAATTTATAGAAATAAATGTTTATAATATTGAAGGAATGAAATTTGAATTTGAATTGGTAATTTATATTTTATATAATTTAAATTTGCAATATGGATTTGTAATGATGTGTCTTAGCTTTTATATAATTGTTTCTTCTTAAAATGTTAAGTTGTTTGTGAATATTATAATTAGCATGCCTATTCTTTTTGATGGAAGATTTTAATGTTTTTGTATATTATTCCAGTTTTTTTTTTTAATTAAATATTATAACGAGCTTGTATAATTTTCTTGAGAAGAATTTGATTGGAGAATTTTATTCTCCATAAGAATGTTTTAGACGTCTATTCTTATATTCAATGCATCTGTTGTTAAAGCGAGTGGTATCCTTGGATATATAATAGAGAAGTCTCCGTTATTTGTTTTTCGTTTAGTTTGAATACCTCTTCTATTTTTAGTGTCCAGTGGATTTTTTCTTATTTTCAAATGATTATTTAACATAATTTACATCCATAATTTTTTATAAATTCTTTTCTTCTATAACAATGCTTATGAACTTTCCTAAATCTTTAATTACATAAGAGAAGGCTTTTGAAAAGGCTGCTTTTATAATTTCTTTTATAATTTTGTATCTCGTTCTAAATGAATTTACATTTTGTTACGTTGATGATACATTATCTATACGATAGAATATTTATTTTAGGTATTGTCTTAGCTTGTTAACAAGTGTTTCTTGATATCACAATAAAATCTACATTGCAGTATTTCAATCTTTTGCTATGTCTATCAATTGATAAAAGATTTTTGCATTACATTGTACAAATAGAATAATATACTATGAATTTCTAAAGATTAAATGGGATTGTTATTTGTCTTTCGAAATCATTGGAATTTGATGATGATATGTTCTATGCAATTCTATTAATAAAAAATATCGTACAATCTGATAATTGATTATATAATATTATAAACATTATTATAAACATAGGTTAACTTTTTTGTGACATGTAAAAAAAAGAAGTATTTGATCAATTGATTTATTTTTGCTTTTGTTCTTTAATGTTTCTTTATATTTACTCGATATTTTAAATTATTGTTATTAATGTGATTGATTTTCTTGTCGTATTATTAGTTTATTTCTTAAATCGATTAAATTTTCTCAGGCTGCATCGATGATTGCTTTGGGCTACCAATAATCGCCAAGGAAAAAATTGCTTTAGATTTAAATTTAATGTCAATAATCGTTCTCAATATAAATTTTAATTGCTATACCATTAGAATAGTTTCAATTTGTTAATTTTTTTTCTGAACTCTGTTTATTCTTATACATCTATGACTGATACATCAATTCTTTTTTATTAATTAAAAACCTTTTTTAATCTCAAAATTATGAAACTTAGTTTACTCATCATACATTACATTTTTTAATAACTGTCTTGAATAAAGATAGAATTAGCGTTTATACATGAGTTACATTTGTTTATACAGTTTGTATAAACAGTTATACATTTGTACTATTTTTTGTACAATTATACAAAAATAATAGAAACTATTATAAACAAGTTATGAATAATAGAAAATAACAGAGGCATTAATTCTTATTAAGAACGATGGCATTGGTATTAGAATTGACAAATTTGTATTATCCGCGAAATAGTATTATTGTATCTTTGCATGCTGTATTATGGTATTTATAGTATACAATGTGTCTTAAAAATCAGGCTTAAAGTAATTTCAAACAATTTTTTCTTTACGAAAATTTTCGGTTAAAGAATCAATATTACAACAATAATTATACATATTGCTTCGATTGTTTGTTTAAATTTAGCGATTCGCTGGCGGCATATACCCAACACTACCACACAGACAGAGCTCTATAATTGGTTAGAGTTTTTCGTTAACAAAACCGAAATGAATAGTTTTTGGAAAGGAAAAAGTTGTTTGAAACTATCTCAAAAATATATTCAGGACAGTTGACTTTTGTCGACTAACTTCTTTATCGTCTGACACTGTATATACCGCTGCATAAATTTCCATGTGACATGAAGTTGAGCTCTGTTGGAAAATCACTTCACCATTAGGACAAACATTTTCATTATTCATATTCGATATTATTCTAAAAACTTTTCATATTTTCACATTCTTTTTCTTGACGTTGTTTTTTAAAACTTTTCTTTTTAAGATCTTTAATCGTTGATATGAAAATGATATGCATTCATTTTTTTTACGAATTTTATTCATTATTTCATATGAAAATTATGTTTCATGACATAACAACATTTTTCTTCTATAATTATTTGACTATAATTTTGATTTATCACTCTTATATTGTTTGATATAAATATTTAGAGTGGTTGTAAGATTAACAAGACCTCTAAAAATACTTATAAGGCTCGTAGAGATTTGCATTTAGTTTTGCTTGATATGTATATTAAGTTTGCATATTAATCAACCTCTATACTTCTGATCTAATGATGGCTTATCGCCAAGTGTGATTCTTAGTATGGCATAATTACAGTGACAAGCAAAATATACAATCCTTGTTACTTAATTGGCTAATTATACACTAGAGTATGAAGCATTATAATTATAATTGAATATTTTGCATATAATAGATGGATACTTGTTGCATTAAATATGATGTATTCTTATATGCTATAAAGAAATTTGTTATGTGAATTATTATATATTATGTTTTTCAATACAGATCAATTATGGAATAAATTTATAATGAAAATATATGACATTTTAACATAATTACTTTTTTATTTGTTTATTATGTGTATGTATTACAGAATACATAGGAATAATAGAAATTAAATAATTTTTATTATAAATTTTATACATCTGCTTTCTTCTTTAAAATATAAATGAAATATTAAAGTTAAATGTGGAATTTTTTGGAAATTGAAAATGAACAAAGATATCATATATAATTATACTTTTTTCTACTAGCTATTAACATATTCATCCAATATTTTTGGATCGATTTTATAGATCAAAATAAACATAAAAATTGGTGTAAGAAAATATCTGTCGAATTGAATAATTATAAGCAATCCGCATTAGATGAAGAGAGACAAATATATTAAGTGACACAACTTTATCTCTGTCATATTATCTATACACTCTGTCTCTGCTTCGCTCCATCTAATGAAAATTTAAATTGCTTTTTGTATTGTAACAATTTTTGTTTCGAATTAATTCAAAAAATTATTTAAAGGATCACATTTCAATTGTCAGGAAACAAAATAATAAAGTTCTTGTACTAATGAATAATTCTCTTGAAAGTAATGAAATGTAAAATTTGAAATGATAAAAAATAATTTTATACTTGCAGTCTTTTTTCTTTTCTTTTTTTATTTTTGTTGCAGCCTCAGCACAAAGGAAGGTACATTCTCGAATATGTATGCAAGCAACTCAATATTTTGGAAACGGATTATTTTGGGCTTCGATATGTGGATCATTGTAGGCAAAGGGTAAGTTTAATCATCTTTCTGCTTATACGAATCATACTTCTAAAATAAGATTTCGAATGCTTAATTAATTTCCAATATAACGCGTTTTATTATTAAATGTTTTTATCAAATCGTAAGTTAAATTATTTTCTTTAATTCGTTCTATATTTTGTCTATATAAATATAAGATGTTCTAATTTCATTTTATATTTATTGCAATTACCACATGTGGACAAGTTAATTATCCCCTTCAAAAGTACTCTTCTTCTTACTAACGAATACGAAACAGAAAAACGTTGTCCATCGCTTAATTGCAGTTTTTTTTTTTTCTTCTTCTTTTTTTCTCTTTCACTTTACAATTAAGAATATTCGGTGAATTGGTTTATCAGCGCAGATTCTTGTTCCACTAAGAAACATCAGTCATGTTAATTATAAAATTGTGAAATTTGTAATGAATTTAACTGTATTTAGAAAAAGATTAATCATAATCTAATTGTAATTAAAGTAAATTATATATTAAATAAAAAAAAATGTCCATTTAAGATTAATTTTTTTAAATTGTATTCATAAAAATATGATTTTGCATATAAATCTTCAATCTATTTATGAAATATACAGAATATATTTAATGAATTTAGTTAAAAATTATAGTTAAAAATAATGATAAAAATTTATAACGATACATCTCTTATTTTTCTTTGGTTTTTTTAGATCTTTGGTATTTTATTATTTTTTTTTTTTTTTTCATGATTATATTATTTTCATACGAGGTAACATAAACGATTACATTAAGTTTAAACGTAATATTGTTATCGTTGTAAAATTTTTCCTCTTCAATATTCTCATTCCTCGAATTTATAAAAACTTTTGTTCAATTTTAAATCAAGTTATTCCGACATGTTTAAGAGATATGAAATATTCTTGCAGATAAAAATCTAATGGATTTAATTTGTTTTTTGTATTTATTTTTTATGTTCACATTTATTTTATATCATTCAAAAGAACGATCTAATATTTTCATATATTTTAAATGAATAATTATATTTTATTTTTAAATAATTTATAATATCATAATAAAATAAAATATTTATTAAAGGTAAATTTTTTGTTGGTTTTTTCTTCATTGATATATAATTTTGTACAAAAAGACATTAAAATATTCAATGTAATTAGTTTTCAATTGTATTTTTCACTAAACAAGATATATTTTTTTTCATTATTTTAAAGTGTTCAATCTGAAATATTACTTATTATTGTTATAGTATATTTCTAATATTTCTACATATATATAAACTGTATATAATATATACAATGTAATATAAAGATATCCTTCATTGTATGACATTTGTGCAAACAGATGTATGTGAATGAATGTTGTGTATAAATACAGGCATGACTGAGAAAAATGTGAACTTTTTAACAATACAAAGAGAGATGAAAAAGAAGTTTTTAACATGAACTCAGACATGATGTTGTCTATTTTATTTTTACATAAAAAATTTATAATAAAAAATACTGACAAGAAAACATTCATTTTTCTAATAGTTTAAGAATATTAAAAATATCTCTTATGTTTTTGGAGAGTTTGAAATTAAATCTAATACATTTTTAAATATTTGCCATTAAATTTAATATTGACAAATATTTAAAAAAATATATGTATTTTTAAATACATTAAATTAAAATTTGATATTATTTTATATTTCGACCTACGAAATTAATTAATATTATATTAAATTTAATCTTACATTTGTTACAAAAATTAAAGAACGTAGAGAACGAGAGAAGCATAATGACAATATTATAATTAATATAATAATAAACAGTCCATAAAGACGTAGAATTTTTCCTTCTTTAATTTTTTATCTTCATCTATCTATGGCGTTCTATTCATTTATAATTAAATATTCTATCTTTCTTATAATTTATTTAACATTTCAAAATATTTGAGAGACCTAAAACTTTATCATTTGTTTATCTCTATTATTTCTTAGGACAAATAAATTGAATCATTTCTCGATTTTTAAAAAGATTATATAAAATTTTTTATATTTTTATTTAAAAGATATAAATATATTGAAATATTTTGACGTATTTTCAAAAATGAAAAAAATATTAGATCGAACATTTTAATTAACAATAAAAAGATTAATATTATTAATAATAATTCTTGATATTATGCATCAATTACATGTATAATAACAGTAGTATCGCATTTTATAGGATAATGCATCTTGTAGGAAATTATCTATTGCTCTATGTATAATTTGAATATTCATCGTACTTGCGTGTCCTTGTATAAAAGAGAACATTAAATAACTTCAAGTAAAAATGGATGCATAAATTTAATAAATAATATTTATCATTAAAACATCTTAGCAAATTTAAAATAATGAAATTGTAAAGAAATTGTTTAATAAATATAATAAATATATATATTTATATTTAATATTTTAAAATATATATAAATTTAATATAATATTTGTTAAACAATTCTTCTAAATTTGTATATATTATGTACAGAATTTATTAGATATTATTATCTCTAGATATTATTTTATGTCGCTGTTATTATGATAGTAAAAAAAAAATTTCTTACATAGAGTAGAATAGTTTCAGAAAGAACATTATATATATCAAAAAAAAAATATATATATAGATTTGATTTAAATATTATATAATAAATATTTTAATTTAAATAAAATATAACATATAATAAGCTATTTTTTTTATATGATTTTACAATTTGTAAGAGAAGTATATATTTGTTTCTGTATCAAAATGATATAATAATAACAATTTAGTAATATTTTATAGTAATTCATTAAAAATTTGAATATTAAAAATTATATTCTAATTATATATATATATATATATACTTATTATATAATTAATATACAATTTTATGTTAATAGTTAGATTTTAGAATTATATTAGTTTTGTATTTATCCCTTTGTAAAATTAAATAATAATAGATTATATTTAATTAATGAATCTGTTTCAGCATTGGTTAGATCTGGCAAAAACAGCGATTAAGCAAGTAAAAGGTTAGTACTTTGTTCTATTGTATGTTCAAATAAGAAAATTGTTATTTAAGTATTTTATGATATATCTTTTAAATTTTTTAAACAAGTCTTGATATTTTAATATTATAATTTTTACATTATTAAAGTAAAAAAATATTGTAATAAAAATGTTTTTTGGAAATTGTATTGTTAATATGTTTTCTTGATTATATAATTTATACATAAATCTTTTATTATAAATCTTTAAACTGTATACTAAATATATTATTTTCTAATATATATATAAATTAATTATAAAATAATATACTATATTACATCTTATTTTCCAAATATTTTTATATTAGTAGTTTGTGATTTGAAATAAATTAATATATAATATTATATATAATAATATGAAAATTGTCAATAATTTTCTAATTTGCAATCATACAATTTAAATAAAAGTAATAAATATTAATCTAAAGCAAATTGAATTTGTTTTGAATATTTGTCGTTTCTTGTAAATCTTTATAATTGTATGAAATATATATATAAATATGTGCATTAAAATTTATTACTTCTATATTGATAAATTTATTTTTATTTTTATAAATAATTGCTTAAAAAATCTTTGAAATATATTTTTAATAGGATTATATATAGATAAATATAATAATGCACAGTTTACAGTATATAAGATACATAAATAATTATTGATTTATAGTACATGTAAATAAATTTTTGTTTACGATAATTATTCTTATAAATAATAATTTTGATTAATTTATAATATATCAAGAATTAAAGATTTAAGTAAAATAAAATTTTTCGCATGTAAATTCAATTCTATGTAATAATGAACAGCTGTGACCAAGGTTTCGATTTCTGTCTCCTCCTTTCTATACTTGAATACCGTGGGTCGATGTCACATGAAACTTTCAAACTCTAGCGACCTAATATATACTGTACTATTCTTATATATCCAAATAAATAAGAAGAACTTGATTTTTGGAGAAAAAAAAAAATAAATAAATTAAAGAAATAAATTTGACAATTAAATGTAGAAAAATTCTCTTTTTCATCTTTCTCATCATTTATATATATATATATTAATTTTTTTATAATTCTGTTTTTAAGTACAATATTTATTCAATATAAATTTCTTTTCTATCTATGAGTTTAATATATATATAAATAACAAAAAAATACAATAATTATTATATTCAAAAATAAAACATGAAGATATATCTGATTTAAAATTATTTGACTTTTTTAAACATTCGAGACGTATATTATAATTAACACATATAAGTAAAATACATTGTCTTTATTATGAATATGTTCCAGACATGGACCCGATTTTGTTTAGTTTTCGCGTGAAATTTTATCCACCGGATCCTCTGAGGCTGAAGGAAGAAATAACTAGATATCAAGTTTACCAGCAGCTTAAGAGGGACCTTCTTCATGGACGACTATATTGCAGTCCAGGTGAAGCAGCGCTGCTGGCGGCGTGCATCGTGCAAAGTAAGTATCTTTCATTGCGCACAATTTTATTAAATATAAATCTTTATTTAACAAGACTATTTTAATTGATATAAGAATCAATCCAAAACAAAAATTTAATATTTATTATATTTATTATATTTTGATAATTTAATACTTTTAAATTATAATTTTATAAATGTGTAATAGATATAGTTTTATAATCAAGATGTTAATGATTTCTATAGTTTATTTAAATGAACAAATAATAAATAAAAAATAATGGTTAATTAAAATTTTATTAAATTAAAAATGATAAAATTAATTTCTAAATAATAATAAATAATTTAATCAAATTTTAAGAAAATATTAAACATTTAAAATTTAATGAATATTCTCAATTTATTAAACTTTATTAAATTCAAAAGAATAAAATTAAAATAAAAATACAGTTGATTGAAAAATAAAAAAATTTATTAAATTAAAAAGGAATAGAAAATTATAGAAACTATGAAGATTAGAAATAAAAGATGTAAAATTTCAATTTATCTATAATTAGAGAGAATGGTAGTTCTACTCTTAATTGCAATACGCAATACGATATTGTCCTTGGTGTCACTCTGGCATATTCCATTAAATATAAAAACATGAATATCTTTATACTTTAACAAGTTATTATTGAATATTTTATAAATGCTTACAACATGTTTATTCTTTTTTTTAAAAATATTTATATATCTTTATATTTTCTATTAATAAATTTAATAATTTTAATTTAAACTCGAGACATCTAAAGATCAATCAATGATATACTGGGTTTCAGCAATTTTAATAGATTTCATTATACTTTTAAAAAAGATCTTTACATCGTATTTAAGTTGCTTGAATTAGAAATTAAGATTACAATAATTAAAATAACATGTGTTCATATATATGCTCATTTATATAAAAAGTAAATGAATATATTTATAAATTGTATATATATTATTATAATAAAAATTAAAAAATTATTTGATTTTTAATCTATGATTTATTATTATACATAATAATTGAAAAAAATCTTAATAGTAATTAATAGTGAATCATGGAATTATCACAATGATTATTTTTATGAATTTATAAAAAGATAAAATAAAAATATTTGTGATTAAATATTCGGTTTTCATACTTTTAATGAATTGAATGATTTGAAAGAGTATATCAAATATTTAACTACAAATAGACAAAAAACAATTGTATTATGTATATGTAAAAATGAATAACAAAAAAAAAGTTATTTTTTTTATTTGCAGTTTATTTCATTTTTGAGAAAATCTAATTTGAAAATTGATTATTTGTAAACAAAATTTTATTATATTTCGATTAGATAAAATGGATTATTAAGAGAAAATTATTCTATATGTGGCAATAAGTAAAAAATAAATCAAGAATAAATTTTTTTCATTCTAAGATTAATTTTCAAGAAAATTGATGACTTATTTTCTTTTTTCTAATGCCACAAGATATTCCATCTTTTTTTTTTATTTTTTATTCTTCTTTATTAATTTTTTTCTATGCATTTTTTTCTTTCTTGTTATAACGATTCGGATATTTTGAAAAAAATATTCTTTTTGAAAAATTTTCCGTTATAAATTTATAAATCATAGATTTATTTTGAGATTTTAACTAAATAAAAAAAAAAAAAAAGAATATCAATCTTGAAATATATCAATTTATTTTTAATTTATTTTAATATAGAAATGTTTCATAAAAAATCTTTGATATTATTAAATATCAAAAAAAAAAAATTCAATAATTTACTGTTTTTAATATTTATGTATCTTAATTTTGGAAAGTCTTCGATAATAAAGAAAATTTTATTTTCTTTTATGAAAGACAAAAAAATTTTATTAAAATAACTACTCTTATCGTATTTAACAAGAGATATTATAAATAAATCTCTTCTAAAAAAAAATATTCATCAATTGATTAATTAAAGTTTTCAAAAAAAAAAAATAATCCATGAAATTCAATCGCGAATCTCAATATAGTAGAATATCTTAATGCTTTCACAACAATGTATATTAAAATTAAATTATTTATTTAAATAGAAATGTTATAATTGTACAAAAGACTAAAATATGAATCTTCATTAGCCATAAAAATTGCTTAAAATCCATATTATATTTTCATCATAATCATAATCAATCATTTTTTCAAATATAACGTTCACTCCTGAATTTTCTAATGAAGTTTCTATGTACAATCATCTCACAAGTTGAGACGTTAAGTCAGCCAACAAATTTTTGGCATCCACCAACGCTTCTTTCCTTTTCTCTTTGTTGAATAAACCGAATAGGGATATATGATACCGCTATTATCTGCAGCGGTGAACATTGCAGACAGTCAAGGAAAGAGCTGAGATCTTATTTTCCGAGTGTCCTTATTATACAGGGTGTCTCACGAAAAGATATTTCATGAATATATTATAAACACCCTGTATATGACACAGATAATCATTTCAACATCGACTTTTTATATCACAACAGCGAAAAGAAATCGTCAAATCATATGTGTCGATGCTATCATTAGAACACGAACCAGATAATCTGTTACAATAAAAATTATAAGAAGGTTATATACTCGTTTTGAGAAAAATTTCACAGTTTAAAGAATTTTAGTTAGTGTATATTTATCGAAGATACTTCGATTTAGATTAGAATACGAACATGATTGTGCGATTTCAGATGACACTTTCGAATTTCATCAATCTTAGCAGCAATTGACGTTTATCAGGATCGTAGATTTACCTGAAATTTATAGCAAACATCCATCAATTCTTCTACTGACAACGGATTTTTGTCAATTTAACAATACTTTTTTTTAAATTTTGGAGATGTTGCATAATTAGAAGGATATTCACATATATATATTTGGACAGATGTACATGATTTACGTAAACTCATTCATATTTTGCAACATCATTGGAAGGGAGGGAAATCTGTAAAAATTAAATTTACAAAATTCAATTAAAAAATTCAATTTTCAAATTTAAGTATAATTTTTTCTCGCTCAAAACTTCATTTTCGAATAAACCAAGCTTGAAATTATTTTTCTAATATAAATGAATACTCGATTGATGCGAAATTATGTAATAAAATGTGAAATAAAATGCCATTTGGATCCTTTTGAAAAACTTGAATTTGAACTTGAAGAAGTATCTAATTTTCAAATTCTATTTCTCGTTTTATTCTATATATTTTGCTTATTTTTACGCGTGGAATATAATAACTTTCTATCAAATAATTTGCTTGTATCAGATCAGAAATTCAGTCGCATTCTGTTGCAGTTGACAAATATCCAAACTAGATCCTTTCGAAAAATAAAACGAAACTTTAATTGAAAAAATTTTATTCTTCCTTTTCTATTTATTTTTGCATATAATATTATCCCCTGTCCATTTGTATCACTCGTAACTTGCGACATTTTACGAAAGAAAACATATAGTATGCGCTATTACTTTTAAAGAATATATTTACGAGAAAATTATCTTGTAATTAACGTTTTGATAAATGGAAATAATTGTTGTGAATGAAAATCGATTTATATCCGTTCTATAATAGTTTCATATCGATTCCAATTTAAACAATTTTTCAAGTTTGTTCATAAAAATTTAAAAAATTATTATAAATAATCTGTTAAATAAAAATAAAATTTTGTCATTTTATTTTTTAGCTCGGTTTTTCTTATATATCAATACATTCAAAGATATCGTTTTAAAAAGAAGTTAATTATCGTACACCTTCTATATTTCTAGAAAAAAAATTAGAATAAAAATTACTTGTATCAAACAACATTTTCTTTAAAATGAAATAAATTTTACAATAATTGTTGGAAGATTTTTTTGCAATAGAATAATTTCCATAGAGGATAATTGTATCCAAATGTTCAAATAGGACACCCTATATACAAGCATTGCTTTACCGAAATTTGCAAGCATAAACTGTTTAATATTTCTGAGAATTTTCTCAACAACATAAAAATCGATCTGGAAGTTCAAAGGTATTGTCTGTGCCTGGAATATTATAATAGATTTTGGCAGCAAACGCACATTGACGATGTTGCTTCATTGATCGGGTGATTCTGTTGGATGCTACTGAGAAAAATAAAAAAAGATTTAATTCCTAAGAAATAAAAAATAAGTTAACTAACTGATAATTAAAAATAAACCATAATGTAAATAAAATAAAAATAAACTAATGATGTAAATATTCCTTTTTCTCTTTACGAAATATGCTATGAAAGATTTTTGTTATAAAAAATTAATTATTTCTCTCGAAAAGAAATTCTGTATTCTTATATCAATAGTTTTGTAAATATTAGATTGAGTTGATAATATTTATTAATCAGTTTTTTTAATATTTTTTTATTTTATTTATAAGCAACGAGTGAAATATTTAAATGGCATAAATTAGAAAGTGGAAAATTGTATTGATTGTACAAGGTGTTCTGTAAGCAATGATACATAGGAAATAAGTTTACGTGAAAATATTAAGTCATGAAGAATAAAATCTTTTTATTAAGATTTTATTTTAAAATAATTTTAAAATATAATTAAAATAGCTATTTCTCAATATTAATGAATTATAGGTAGTTATATATGAAATTAGCAAAATATATCAAAAATGAACTCTCAAATTTTATTTTATTTTAGTTATCTTTTCAGTGAAGAATCTAGAATTATTTTTCATTCCAATTGTATCATTACTTATAGGACAATCTGTGTGTAGTTTTTCATTACCATTACACGTATCTTATTAATTATTATTTATCTAAATTTAATATGTAAAACTTTAATAAATGATTTTTAATTTTAGGCGAATTAGGGGATTATGATCCTAAACTTCACGAAGGAAACTACATTTCTGAGCATAAATTATTGCTTAAACAGACGGAAGCTATTGAAGAAAAGGCTATGAAACTTCATCAAACAGAATTGAAGGGATTCACTCCACAGCAAGCAGAAACTCATTTTCTTAGGTTAGCATCACAGTTGGATACATATGCTGTTGATCCACACCCCGTAAAGGTAAGGTTGAAATAAATAATTTGAAATCGAAGGAAGAATTTTATTGATTTTACACGTGAACACAAAATATTGTGCATCTATCATGGATGATTTCAAAATTTTAATCTAGCATATAAACGTATTAATAATATTTATATGTGTTATTAATAAGAGATTAACTCGACTAATCTATTGAATATAATTTATATAATTTCAAGGAAATGGGATAAAATTTCTTTTAAAATTCCAAATTATTGTCAAAAGATTGAAAACATATAATATTTTCAAAAGAAATCAATGTAAAAAAGTTAAAGAAGTTGAGAATAAACTTAAAAAGAATAGAAATGAATTAAAAATAATATGAGTATATATAAGATAAAATAGTATATAGTAGTATGATAAAAATATTTTTTCTTTTAATTTTCAGGACCAAAAAGGTGCGCAATTGTATCTTGGTATTAATCATTGTGGAATTCTGACATTCCAAGGATCTCGTAAAACACATCATTTCCGCTGGCCGGAGGTTCAGAAAATCAATTACGAAGGAAAAATGTTTATTGTACATTTAACGATAAGTGAGGTAAAATTTTTTATATTTTAATTTTTTAATGTTTCTGTGCAAAATTACGAATACATAACGTGATTAATTGCGTATGTATACGTGTATATGCCAAGATTTAATTTTTCCCATCAAAATTCAGAACATATTTGACGATATTCGTTATAATATTTAATATATAAATTTTAAACATTTTTTAAAATTAATTTATTCTAAATTGTTATATTCTATCTACTTATTTTTTATATTTAAAAGAGTCTTTTAATATTTTTTATTTATAAAAGTGCTTTAATCTTTTCAAATCTTATGAGACATATATAATCTTAAACAATATATATCAATAATATAATCTTAAATATATAATCTTGTATGTGCGTTATTTTGTACTTTTATAATTCTGATAATTATACAGATTATTTATCTGAATACATTCCTGGAATACTTTTGAAAAGTTGTGAAAGAAGCAAGACAAACACAAAAATTAATATATAAAAATATCGATTGAGATTTATTTATTAAGATATAATATTAAGATATTATAAAGATGTAATAATATAATAATATAAAATTAAAGTTTGCATTAGATAAACGAGACAGGAACATGGAATGCAATAGCAATGTAATGAAGATAAAGCTTTCTTTATTTCGTCTTAAATTTTAATTGTTTATAACTTAATAAATAAATCTTAACGAATATTTTTATATATAAAATTTTATGTTGTTTCTCCAGAATTGATTTTTTAAATATGGAATATATCTAGATATTTTAAATATATGTATGTATTAATATATATATATATTCCAAATAACTAGAATATATTATATTATATGTATATCATTATTGATATTAATAATTATCACATTTAATTGGATAATTTTTATTCATGCAAATGTATATAATTATTTGCCTAAATAATGATTTTCTAACCGACTATTGTGCTGACGATTACCAATCAGTGATAAGTATACGTATATAATCAGACAAACTATAAAAGTACAAAATAATATACATATGAGATATATACTGCTTTAAAAAGGATTAATATGTGTTCCATCAATCTAAAGAATCTAAATTTAAAAGAAAAATAATTCAAAAGTTATAAAAAATTTAGAATGAAAAAAGAAAATTCAAAATTGTAAAAAATGTAGAATTACAATATATATTTTATAATTAAAATAAATTTTTTTAATCAAAACTTATGGATTTTATAATATAACCAATAATTAATCGATGTAATAATTGATATAAAAAAATTTTTTTAAAACAAAAATAAATGTGAGAAACTATAATGAAATTATAATTATTAAAACAAGAATAAGTTTTAACTTAAATTAACTTTTAAATTTAGCTGAGATTAATTCAAATATTGAAAATTTTTCATAAAATACATCGCAACATTCATTTTCGGGAAATAAAATATCGCCATGATATATTCAAATATAGTTTGTAGGAAGAAATTGAATGATTTTATCAGTATATTAGATTCTGAGTTAAAAAGATGCACATTATCTTGATTCATTCGTTTGTAAAATAATAGGTTTTTTAATTTTCTTAATTTTTTTTCTTTATTTAATTCATTAAGGATCATATAATAGAAATAGTACAATTTTTATGGTAATTTATTATTTAGAGTAAATATAAATATTGATAAAGAAATTTTTTGACTAATTGTTATAAAATGCATTCTTGAAAATTTTAGACTTTTAGAATAGTGAAATTTTTTAAAACAAAAATAGAATAGATAGAATAGAATAGAATATTATAATAGAATAGAATATTATAAAACAAAGATAGAAATCTATTTTGATCACAGTGCTATAAATAATTCATACTTTTAAAATTAACTTTGTAAAATTATTAATTTTATGAATTCTGAATTTTAGTTGAAAAAATAAATTGTCATAAAACAATTTGCAAATGATATGATTTATTAGATCTTAATGAATTGTCTTAATGAGTATTTAAATACTACATTAGATGTGATATAAGATGTGTAAGAATGTTTATGAATTAATATTATAAAATATCAATATATTGTTCAATGATTTAATATATATCTATATTTTTTAAATTTTTTACATAAATACAATGTATGTAATATGTATGTAAATATGATTGATATGTATATGTTTCTTGCAATGAGAAAAATGTATGAATGACAATATGAAAAATTGAATACAGAATCTTTCAAATACACAAAGAATTAATTATAATATACAATACAAATGACAGTATCAAAAATGAAATAGTTTTTAGTATGAAAAACTAAATTTCTATTAAATGAAATTTTTATTAGAAATAGTAACAATCATTAAAATTATATTATTAACAAAAAAGGTACAAAATACATAAAAAATAAAAAGCTAGTAAATGTTTTATTTTTATTACATATAGAATTATATATAAAATTTATTTTTTAAAATAAATTAAATAAATAGTTATAATATATAACATTTTTAATTCAGAATTATTTAAAAAACATACTGATAAAATTATTTGATTTTCTTCTAGAATTATATAGAATTATATAGGATTCTTCTAAAATCCTATATAATATGATGACTATATGTATAATTTATACAGAAGCCATACTTGATTCTATCAAGGCTAATTTAAAACGTTAAAATATTAAATTAAAATTATATTTTGGGACTAAAATAAAAAATTTTTAAAGAAGATTAATGAAATTGAATAATTCATATATCAAAATATTGGAAGATGTATCATAAATATATCAATCATACATACATTTTTTTTGTTTTATATTTATGAATTAAATTTCGAATTAAGTTTCAAATTTTTAAATATATTTATAGGAAACATCATATTACATTAATTAATGCATTAAAAATTATTTTTCATTAAAAACATTTTTTTTTCTATATATTTTATATCCTTTGCATCATTCAATTTTTATTTGAAATATACTTTTTTATCATCGAAATCAAATAAGACATTCAAAATCAAATTATTTTGTTATATAATCGTTGTACAGTCTTTTTTTTTTTTTTATAAAAAATTATTTTCTATCATATCACATTATTTCTATTATTAATGAATTTTTTTTTTTTCATATTTCTTTGTTTTATACTCAGGAATTATTCCAATTCTATTCAAAATTACTTACGAATAACTACATAATACAGCGATTAATCAATTGCGAAATATAATATATGGAAATTATTATAATCATTTTTGTTCTCTATAACATTGAATATTGTAAAAATAATAGATAAAATAATCAGTGTTATTACTTTAACCATTTCTTGTGAATGTGATCGATGAACCAACCTTGACCCAGTGACTGAATGTATTTTATAGGATTACTAACTCCATGAGTCTTCCATTCGTTGAAAGTGTATCGACATATCCATAAATACGATGTAAAAACTGGGACATAGACATTTATTTTTCTTTCAATTTGTTGATTGTTTTAAACGAATCCTTAAAATTGATATAATTTTTATTTTTGTGGCGAATAAATAAATATTGTCGAATATACATATAAATATAAATTATATTTAAATTAAACTATATTTGTTCTAAAATGTTCTAAAAAAAAAAAAAAGAATTAGAAATGAAAAATAATAATTCTTTGAAAAATATTTAGATAAAAGAACAAAAGAGTATATAAAGAGTTTGGACGAAATACATAGAAAATTTAAGAAGTGATTCTAGAAATTAAAATAAAATACGATATACGATATGTAGAAATATAGATTGAGGTTATTTTATTGAATTACAAATAATTTTATTTTGTTTTAGATGGAATGAAATGTAGATATAGTGAGATTGTCTCACTTGAGTAGAAAATTTAATTATTTATAACTCCAAAAATAAGTTATATCTTATATTTATACATATTAATTTTCGTGTTTTTCCTTTAATCATTTTTTTTAAATTCCTTCAATTCTTTTAAAATTATCTCTTAATTTTTCTATTTACTTTATTTGAATATTTATAGGTAATATATAAAGTTTTTAAAATTAAATTATGAATTTATATTTTTAATTAATTAAATTAATAACATAAAACTTTGAAGAATTATTTGAAGTATTAATTCTAGAGATTAAAATAAATATGAAAGTTATATGCACAAAAATATTGGTTATTGATTTATTTATTAAGTTAATTTTGATATAATCAATTTTGATCAATCATTCAGAAACAGAACGAGAAAACAATATAACGAAAACAGGTCTGTATTATTCTATTTTCGTTTCATTTTTAATGCAAATTTAAATTGTTTTTAACTTAATAAATAAGCAACTGATTTTGTTATTAAAATTAATCAATTAAATTAGTTCAAAAAAAGCTTCACAAATATATTAATATCCTGTATGTATCAGTAGTTATAGTTAGAGTTCAATATATTGTATATTAAATAAAATATTGTTTTATATGTAAACAGTATAAAAATTAGAGAACAAAGATCATTGATAAGTTGATAACTTTCAGTCTTTGCATTTTTAATCAAAATATAAAATTAAAATTATTGTTGTTTAAGCCGTATTTATTTATTAATAAGTTATTTCTGTTTAATATTAAAATATTTTATTTTCCATTTATGATGCAAAATTAAAAACAAAAATTTAGCGAAGAATTATATATATATATATATAAGTTTTTAATAAAATTGATTTTTTTTAACTGAAAATAAAAAAGCTTATTAAAAAATACAATAGTGGCATTGTGAAACAGCCAAATATTAATTATAATTAATGATTATTTTTTTAGTAAATACAAGTTCGATTAATATCTTTTTGTTTTATTAAACATTTATATTCTTTTAATTAAAATGAAAAAATTTAGTTTTAAAAATTTTTTTTCTATAAAAAATTTATACATATTGTGTACGTTTAGTGTGTAATTTGTATTAATTGTTTTATTTTGTTAATTTATTTTATTGTTTTTTATAAATTTATCATTAATTTGTTTAATTTAAATTGTAGATTAAATAGATTATTTAAATTGTATATATTTACATAGATTTAATTTAATATAATATAATTCTTTTTTATTGATATTTATAAAATAATAATTTAAAATTATATTATTTTATAAAATTTTATTCTGATTTTAAAAAACTCTTCATAATTAATATAATATAAAAAATAATACAATATGTTCTAAATATAGTAAAAAATCAACATATGAAAAAAATAGTATAGTGATATTACAAAATATAGCAATAAATATGATCGTCATTTTTCGTGGCTGCAGAAAATTAAATAGAAAATTATGAATATATTTAAATATATAAAAATTATAAATATATTTCATTATTAAATATAAATAAATATTGGAATAATTTATTGAGGATTACTTTAATTGAGATATTACATATATATATATATTATATATAACAAATATTTCTGAAAAATAATATTTATATTAAAAAAATAGTATTTCTAATATATTTCGATATCAATTTGTAAAAATTTTTTTTTTAATAAATAATAAATAAATATTTCTTTAAAATTGAAATGAAATAAGAAAATTGTATTCAAATAATAATATTTCAAATTAGCAATTTTTATTATACTATTGTATTATTTTGTACAATAAGTTTTATATAAAAAAACTAAAACATAAGTAATTATCTTTGATGTCCATTCCGTTTGAATTAAAAGGAGAATATATATAACTGCAAATAATAATATTTGATCTTTGTTTAAATATTAAATAAAATAATTTTTTAGTATTTAATTTTCGAAAATATTTCATATATTTTCTACTATTTGTTTTAATACGTTTCAAATTTTCCTCGGGTCCTTACTTTAATAAAAAGATTTTTATACATTTTTGTATTGTTACACAATTATACATATTACACGTGTAGTATATTATACGTTCGATATTGTTACGAGTACAACTAATCTTATTACTTTCCAATGCTGGTCTATTCAGGACGTAAGAACGAAGGTGAGTCGTTTCATAACAGTTCCACGGATTGTTCGTGTTTTTTCAACGTTAGGTGGAAATTACATGTCTAGCGATCGGTTATTAGTGTGAAAGCGGAGAAAATTAATTGTATCTATTATTTTGTCTCAAGAAAGATGTGCGATAATTAGCTATCCCAATGAAACGGCGTAATTGTTTGAAGTCTCTGAAATCGGTAATTAAAAAAAAAAAAAAACGAATAATTACAGTAGTATTTACATCTGTCATGTAGAAATTGTCTGCATTAAATATAATCGTTTACTTTTCACAAACATTCCTAATAGCATTCATCGTTCTGTGTGTCGGCTTTATTACATTGTATGTGTTTTAGAAGCTTTAAATAGAATGACAAAAATTATTAAGAAAGGCGAGGCAAGATTTTTTTCATTGTGAACGAATATTTGAATCGCATAAAAGTATAATAATAGTCATAGAATATGTAAAAAAGTGTTAAATATTCTTATCATTATTATTATAATGTTAATTGAAATGTAAGTGAAATATAATCGTTCATATTTACAATTTTTAACGTAACTTACATGTAATAACGTAGCACTTGATTTGAAATAGTTATTTAAAATATTTTATATCATAGTTATATATCGAAACATATTATCATTTGATAAAAGTCAGCATTTGTCGAAAATTTTTGTTTATTTTTTTTATGTCGATCATACCTGATAGAATAATATCTATATATTGTAGTTGTCGAAATTAATATTCAGAGTGTTAATATATTCATGGAATATCTTTGATCGATTCTAAAGGGCAAAACAAACATAAAACACACATTTATTAAATTGCAAGCAATTTAAATTTGCATTCGATGAAGATAAAGATAGATGAAATTGACTCATTTCCGTCTAATACAAACTTTAATTATTCGTAATTTAATAAATAAATTTTTATTGACCAATACCAATTTTTTTACATTTTATTTATTCTATTTTATTTTTTTTTTTTTTTAATTTCTAGAATCGATCTTCCAAAAATATCTCACGAAAATNTTAGCATTTTGTGTATATATATATATATATATATATATATATATATATATATAAGAGAGAGAGAGAGAGAGAGAG